GTCAGCGATGAAAACACCCGTTAAAGATATAGACAAGTGTCACCCCTGATTTTTCAAGTCCCTGGTATGTTCGTGCTACCAACTGAACGATACCGTTTAAACAACAAACGTCTTCCGCCTCGAGATTGAATGAAAATGATCAGAAAACGATGTGCAGTAGCTTCAATGATCAATGTTAGGATAGAATCTGAGTGCTTAAGTTGCATGCTGCTGCTGATGGCAGAAAGATCAATTCGCTACGATGTCTCACCTTTGTGAACTGAATCGTACTACCTTGAGCGGAGGAGTTGTTTCTGGCAGCGCACGTGGAAGCCTTGCAGCTTTCGGTATCAGATTGCAGAAATGTCAGCTTGCATTTTGCGTCAACACTAGAGTCACATGCGTCGGTAAGTGCTGATCTTCGTATTTATGGGAGGAGATTAGCTTAGGGTTGTGTATGTGTGTGCGTGTGTGCGTGCATGTGTGTGTCATCGGATGACTGCTCCGTAACGAGGTGAATTGCTTGCGTCACCTCTACTTTCCGCCTTCTTCTAACAGCTTGATTAACAATGTGTTAAGCTCAGCGCAAAGTTACACCAACTGCTAATGAGTTTGTCTTGCCATAAATGATAAATGTTTATTATCCATTATGGCATATCAATGCCAGCTAAATCATCAGCGGAGATAGTTTTATATGTGGATTTTTTAACTTCAGATATTCTCGCTTTTGTCACATCGTGAAATTGTAAATACAAGTGACAAGTTACTGTCATTCTGATAATCCTTTTATGACAGCGTAGAAGAAGTTTAGATTGTAGTTTTCGAGTTGCACACCCTTGCATTTGCGCTGAATTACATACCGCTGCTACTTTTTGGTTCTTTTAGAATAAAACTCGAAACCTTTCTGTTTATGGACTTGTTTCATGTTAAGATTTTATCCAAAAGGGATTTCTAGCCAAATTTTATGTAATTATCTAGTTTTTTGCTCTTAATGTTAACTTTCTAAACTGTCAGTGAAGCGCTGTTTTGTTGTTTCATTTTGTTTATTTTTCTTCAATTGCTGAAAGCATTTTTTCAGGAAATTATGAAAAGGAAAATGTCTGTCGAAGAGGGGGATCATCTCACCATGTTAAATGTCTTTACGGCATTTCAGGAAGTATGTTTAATTACGAACCTGCAGTTTTTTTGTTTCATCATCGTCATTAGAGAAGGTAGACAAGATGAATTAGACTAAACACTATTTCTGTCTTTCAGATCCACAGGGAAAGAACTGAGTGATCATTTAATTTTCCATGCAGCAGTAAGCCAAAAGCAGAACACATTGCTCCCAGAATTTATTGCCATTCGCTGTTCCTAACCTTATGGACGCCACTGATTGGTCTCACGCCATTCTTCGATACGATACTTTGCACTGCCTAATGCGATCCTGCCCCGTGATCATTGAATACAGTACTAAGGTAGGCCAGAATGACAGAACCCTGCTGTTACAATAGAGGTGACGCTCACTTCTGAAAACGTTTTCAGGAACCTAATTGGGCTAGTAGTTCTGTAGTTGTGACAGAATTTATAA